CTGCCTTGCTCTGCTCTCCTCGCTGCTCATGGGCGACCCCCTTTGTTTCCAGTGAGAATTAACGGCTCTCTCCATTCTCAGGCTCTAGCTCAATTCGAAATTGAGTTTGAATTGAGCTATTCAAATTTTGTAGTTATTCAAACTATCCAAATATTAATATTCAATTTTGAATATTACTATTCAAATTTTGTAGTTATTCAAACTATCCAATCACTATTAACACCTACGTCTCTGTGACACAGCTCCATAAGAAACCCTTATCTCATACTTAGAAGCCTCACGCTTTAACCTTTCCCTCGGCGTGGCCTCCTTCCACCCATAAATGTATATTTTGCCTGGTCTTAAAATAATCATCATCATCCCATGATACTCCTGCCCCTTCCAGTTGAGCTTCTGGCTCTCAGTACTTTTGCTCCTGATCTCTTTGAGTCCTCTAGACAGGCCCTACACCAACTTCTCCATCTCCTCAAGGCCAGAATAAATAAACCCATAAACCCAACACCTTTAACACCAGTTTTCCAGGCTCCCACTTTTGTCATCCACCTCCCTCCTTCCTGAAAGTCAAACCAGAACTTTTGGCCACCTATTTCTTGAATTTGGGCTAACTTGGATCCCAACCCATCATTTCATGACTCCTTGCATGCCCTTCCTTCAGCCCCACTTGTCCTTTAAGTCCCTGGTTTACTCCTGCCCTATCTGACAAGTGCCTACTGACCGCAGAGCCTCTCTGTGAGCCATTATCATCCTAAATTCCCTCAGTGGGCATCCCCCTCCCCTCATGCTGCTGCAAACTTCTGCCACTTTTCTCCAATCATGGATTATTCAGTAAGAAATTAATCTCTCCAGCAGGTACTGATGAAGCTTAGCAAACATGAACTTCTAGTACCCACTCCTGGCCACTCCCCATTTGCCCCTCTCAGAAGATGACCAGATGATTTTGTCTGCTCAAGGGTCTGCCTCCACCTAGACTCTAGACTCCGCCTCTCCCATTTGGATCATGCCCTGATATAGTTACAGCCCCTTTTCTCCCTGGGCTCCTTCCCCCTGAGAATCAAGACTGGATTCCTGATGTGCAACCTATGCAGCCACACAGGACCCTGCTCTCAAAAGAACCCCCAAACTGATTTAATGCTCTGCCATTGGTGTCTTGAAATTCTTCAGAATGTTTTAGCAATAGGCCCTGCATTTTCATTGTGTGCATAGAGCCCA